ATGTGGCATTGGTAAAGATGTTTTCCCTTTCTGTAGGATGTCATTTTGTCATATTTTCTGTGTTCTTTGCCTTACAGAAGCTTCTCAGTTTCAGAATGTCCCATTTATTAATTGTTGCTCTCAGTGTCTGTGATGCTGGTGTTATATTCTTTAAGTGGTCTCCTTGCCAATGTGTTCAAGGCTACTTCCTACTTTCTCTTCTATCAGGTTCATTGTAGCTGGATTTATGTTGAGGTTTTTGATCCATTTGGATTATAGTTATATGCACTGTAAAAATATGAATCTATTTGTAATCTTCTACATGTTGACATCCAGTTATGTCAGCACCATTTGTTGAAGATGCTAGCTTTTTTCTGTGGTACAGTTTTGGGTCCTTTGTCAAAAATCTGGTATTTTTATTGTGTAGATTACTGTCAGGGTCTTCAATTCAAATCTATTGGTCCACATATCAGCTTTTATGTCAATACCAGGTGTTCTTATTACTATAGTTCTACAGTAGAGCTTGAAGTTAGGGATGGTGGTATCTCCAAAATTTGCTTTATTGTAAAGGATTCTTTTAGTTATCCTGGTTTTTTTGTTTTTCCATATGAAGTTGAGAGCTATTCTTTCAAGGTCTGTGAAGACCTGCAGTGGGACTTTGATGGGGATTGCATTGACTCTGCAGTTGACTTTGGTAAGATTGCCATTTTCATAATATTGGTACTACCTATTGATGAGATGGGAGATCTTTCCATTTTCTGATATCTTCTTCAATTTCTTCAAGGACTTAAAATTTCTTGTCATACAGGTCTTTTAGTTGCTTGGTTACATTTACTCCAGGTTATTTTATGTTATTTGTGGATATTGTAAAGGATGATGTTTCTCTAATTTCTTTCTCAGCTAATTTATCATTTGTATATAGGAAGTCTACTGATATTGTTTACTTAATCTTGTATGCTGCCACATTACTAAAGGTGATTATCAGTTGTAAGCAATCCCTGGTAGAATTTTTGGGGTCACTCATGTATACAATCATATTGTTTGCAAATAGTGAAAGTTTTACTTCTTCCTTTCCAATTTATATCCCTTTGATCTCCTTTTGGTGTCTCATTGCTCTAGCTAGAACTTTGAATATTGAGTAGATATGGGGGTAGGGTACAGCCTTGCCTTATTCCTCATTTTAGTGGAATCACTTTGAGTTTCTGTCTATTTAATTTGATATTAGCTGTTGACTTGCTGTAAATTGCCTTTATTATGTTCAGGTATATTCCTTGTATTCCTGCTTTCTCTGAGACCTTTATCATGAAAGGGTGTTGAATTTTGTAAAAGAATTTTAAAGCATATAATGAGATGATCATGTTTTTTTTTTTCAGTTTGTTTATATGGTGGATTACATTGACAGATTTTCATATGTTGAACCATCTTGCATCTCTGGGATGAAGTCTACTTGATCATAATGGATAATTTTTTTGGTGTTCTGTTAAATTCTGTTTGCCAGTATTTTATTGAGTATTTTTGTGTCAATGTTCATTAGAGAAATTGGTCTGTAATTCTCTTTCTTTGTTGCATCTTTGTGTGGTTTGGGTTTTATTTTTTCTCTCAATTATTCTTTTCAATGTTTAACCTCTGCTTATAAGTGTTAGACATGTTGTGATAGATGTGTTTACAAATCAAAGACATGTTAGTTGGAAGAAATCAATGATCCCTGCCTGTTATTGAATGGGTGACTTGGCAAATGAATTTCTTTTTTTTTAAATTTTTTTAAGATTTATTTTGTTATGTATACAGTGTATGCCTGCAGGACAGAAGAAGGTGTCAGATCTCATTACAGATGGTTGTGAGCCACCATGTGGTTGCTGGGAATTGAATTCAGGACCTCTGGAAGAGCAGCAAGTGCTCTTAACCACTGAGCCATCTCTCCAGCCCTGGCAAATGAATTTCTTATGAATGTCTATCTATAAAGAATCATTTTCTGATATGGGATTGACTACCATGATATAAACCATAAAGAATCATCCCCATTCATTAACACTGCATCCTTGACATCTGATAGGAGGGCAGTAGATAGACAGACGTAATTAATTGACAAGATTTGTTTATTTGCCCAGACTATGTTTTAAAGTATGGCTACTACACCACAGTCCTCCTTATGATCAAATGATGCATTGTTGCTGTTTAACAGCCTTTTGTATTTACTCAGTAACATGAGCATATCTTTATCTTGGAAAAAAGATTTACAAAGTATTTACTAAATCAGAAAAAATAGTATAGGTGATAACTATAATCAGCATAACAATATTATTGTGAAGCTATAGAAATTTTATTCCTATAAGCCTCATGCTTAGAAATAGTTTTGTTAGTTACTGATGTTTATTTTTTTAGTTAAAATATAATTACAAATTATTTTCTCTTCCTTTTACTCACTCCAATCCTTTCCATTTCAAACATTTATTCCTCTCAAATACATAGCTTCTTTCTCTATGTTATAGAACACACACAAACACATACAGAGAAAGAGATACAGACAAATAGACAGACAGGCATATATATATATATATATATATGAGAGAGAGAGAAAGAGAAAGACAGACAGAAAAAGGTGCATAAATGTATACATTCAGCCTCCTGAGTATGTTTAAGGCTACTTGTTATGTATATGATTTCAGGTCTGACCACTTGATACTAGTAAATCAACCAAATAACTCATCACTAAAAAGATTATGTCTCCTACTTTCAGCATTCCTTAGTTATGTCTAGTTCTTTTTTTATGATTGGGGACCTTAAGATATTCTTTTCTGACATTAGCATATCTGTTGCTACTGTCATTGTTCATGTCTTGACTAGGTAGCCATATTGCCAAGGTTTCATAAGTGAAGGCTCTATGTCATTTCTAGAAGACACTATTTGCTTCCACATTCTTTTGTTGCTACAATCTTACCCCATCTTCCTAGATGGACTCCGAGCCATAGGCAGAAGAGTTGTATTATAGAATATTTCACTGGAACTATATACACCATAACTATTTTGTATCTGTATTTTGGGCAGTTGCTGTCTATAATGATCTTTGTTGCAAAAAGATTCTTTGAAAAGGGATGAGAGCTACACTTACCTATGAGTATAAGGAGAAACATTTAGAATGCAGAACATTAGAATTATGCTCATTTAATGAGGTGGCAACAATATAGCCCCAAGTTGTTGGCTAGATTTCAAGTACTAAGCATGATTTCCTTCTTGTTAAGTGGATCTTAAATTATATTAGGCAACTTATGGCTACAACCAAGATGAGTTCAACAATTGTACCCTTAGGGATAGCTTGCCATGCTGCTCATTATTGTGGTTAAACAGTGTCATAGCTGTGTAGGACTAACTACTGGTTGCTTTCCTTCCTCAAAAACTTGCATAGAACTTCTGGTACCATAAAATATAGAACTCAGAGAGGAGGTTTTCTGATCAGATACAGCTCCTGTCCTCTGCATCCTATATCAAAGGTGAACAGTGTCTTCAGCAAGAAGAACTTACCTCTAGAAGGAAAATACGGAAAAATAACTGTCTACATTATTTTAGAAGTCACTTGGAACCTCCATAGTAACAATTCAAATTGAGGCTTCTCATGCCTAATGTTGAGGTTTTTGTCAGATGATCTATGACAATTGTGAGAAGCATGTAACCTTGGGTTACATACACACACACGCGCGCACACACACACACACACACACACACACACATATAATTATATATTACATATGATTATTAATTTTTAGAATAGATTGCAATGTAATCTGTTGGTTGTTTTGAGTAAATGTATAATTTCAGTTAGGATTTTAAAGATAGTAATAGTAGCATGAAGCTTGGTGCTGGGCTATATTTTAAGCATTTTCCTAATTATTCCTTATTACATGCTTATCCATTGTTAATATTCTTGCTACCACTTTGTAAAGAGGACCAATGAGACATTTTAAATGACTTGACCCTATATCAAGGAAAATGGAGTATGTATTTGCTAAATTTTGGATTCTGACCAGGAGGAGTGTAGTTCTCTTTGAAATGTAACCCCTAAATCCCTTGTTGCATTTTATTTACCTGACCCTTTAACACATGTTGAAAATTTGTGGTATATATCATGAGATCATATCATGATAACGTATATCAACTAAATAAAGAACTCCCCATGTCATGTACTGATTACCCCTAACATTCCATTCCCTATAGGCACCTGATAGTTAACAACCAATGAATGGGTTCTCATAGGAGAATGTGTGTCCTAAATGTGGGGACCTCATAAGTCACTAATATGACTTCATAAGTCACTAATATGACATGATACTCTAACTTCCCTGGTATTGTAAACAGCTCTATGGACTTAGTATCTTCTGAATATTCTTATTTCTCCTTAACCCACTGAAGTAAATTAATAATTGAAGGTAATTCTTAGCACTATTGAGTCATTAGAGTTTCAAGTTTACAGTAAAATAAAGCTTTCTGCATTCTAATACTCATTTTATAGACAGACTACAAAGTCAACAATTCTTTAATCAAACTTAACTGAACATACAACCAGTGTTGGCTCCTGGTGTTGACAGAGAATAACATTTCCAGTGTATCTAGAATGAGATATCAAATAAAAAATCTTTTTTTCAAATATATTTTTCTTCAACATATGAGGGAAAATACCAATGCTAATGTGGAAGTTTGAGGCTTGTGAGGCCTCCACCCCAGATACAGAACTACAGGCAACTAAAGAATGCTAAGAGCAGGAGAAAGTGTCTTTTGGGGAAAAAATCACATCTATTCGTTATCCAATAGAAAACAGTTATCCCTAAAAACATATGCATTCTAGAAAGTGAACTGGACTATGAACTAGAAATATGAATTGAGCAGATTGCATTTATGTATTTAGGAATGTACACACATACACACAAAGCAATAAAGAAAAAGAGGATATGAATTTGAAACACAAGGGAGTTTGAACAAAAAATATACACAGAGAAGAACAGACTTTCTGAACATGTTGCTTTTCTCAGGATACGCTTTCCTGCTCATCGTGGCCCACATCTCCAGGACTGCGGTGGGAGAAGAGGTGGTGTGACCTCAGGCTTATTCCGCTACTGCATGCCCGCTTCTCCCAGTACCTGCCCGGAACTGATCTGACTCGGTGAGTCTGTAGGTTTTAAACACTGATTGAAAATGGTCATCGCTCAAACTTTTAGCATAATGTGCCATGACATTTTTATTTTAGCATGTTTTTGAGAATACAAAAGGAATACTCTCTCAATATACAACATGATAAATATGGAGCCAAAACCAATGGAAGTCCTGATTCTTTCATTAATAATTGCAGTGGATCTGATGTGTGTAATACTATAATTTTATTGGGTTTGATATTTTTTTCTAGAGTTAATTTTAATACATTGTTTTATTTTCAAAGTGGTTGTGTAGTTTATACATTTATCTATTTGAGTGGTGCTAGGAATCTAACAGAGGACCTCGAGTAATCCCCCAGACCTTTGTAGGTAGCTTATCATCTACCATTCTCACATTATCAGTTTTATGAATAAGTATAAGAGTTTACTTTTCATCTCTTTCTCACGCTCAATATTGATAGGGATGTGGAATGAATTGTTTTTCAAAAGCAGATTTGGGGCTTTGTTGGTCCCTTCTTTCCATAGAATTTAAATCAAAAGTTTCTGCCTTTTTTCTTGATTATTTTTATTTGTTTGTTTCTTGAGTTCCTTGGTCTGATGTTTTGCCTAAGGCTTTTTCTTTTCTTTTTTCCTTTCTTTTTTTTTTGAGATAGATGTCTCAAGGACTGAGAAACTTCTCTGGAAAGATGCACTTTTTTGTCTGTTTCCACCCAAGTTCCCTAATCAATTCAGACACACACAGCTGACAACTGCTCAGGAGGTCAGTCAGGCTCCAAATCATCCTGTGGTTGATTGATACCTACTTGTGTCCTTGAGCTCTAAGATGTTACTTATGTAGCCTGTGGCATTCCAGTGTGGGAGACATTCTCAAGACCCTTCTAGGGATGGATAAAATAAGGAAACCAAAGGGAAATACCATTAATTTCACTTTTTCTTGAGAAATTATATACATTTAGAACAATAAACTCTTTGGACTTTCCTTGTCTATTCAATATTTTGTAAAATAGATATCAGATTCTCAAAACATATGACTGCTATCATAAGTCTGTTTATTTAAATATATCTGGCTTGTAATATATCTGATTTTTCTTCTTTTGTCATTGAACCCTAAACTTTCTGCTTTAAGAGTTCTGATATTTGTATTAAGATCTGTTTTTTTTAAAGTAATCATGTGCTTCATTTGCTTATATTATTATCATTTTTTTTGAGACAGGGTTTCTCTGTGTAGCTTTGCACCTTTCCAGGAACTCACTTGGTAGCCCAGGATGGCCATGAACTCACAGAGATCCACCTGGCTCTGCCTTCCAAGAGCTGGGATTAAAGGCATGCTAGGCAAAGCTATCTTACATAAATGTTTATATATTTTCTATCAAATAATTTCTATCAAAAAAATTTTTTGGCCAGTCCAAATAACTCTATAACTTTATTTTCATGGTGCCTCAGCACAAAGAGTTTTAACTACTGAGTTAATTATATCTTTTTAACATTGTAGGCACAATTAGTTACAAACAAAACATTATTCATAATAGATTTCTACAGCAATTCATATACAAGAGCTAACTTACTATTCACTTATTCTCTTAGTAAAGGCTAATTGAAAACCTCCTTCCATGGAGCTCACAGGCTATACTTCAGAAATGATAAATTCATTTTCTCTGTAAGAAGGAAAAACAAAGAAGTGCATATGATGGCACATAATAGTCTGTGGGGTGTCTATAAATCCAAGATATTATATATATATATAATATCATAACTATATTTTATAATTATATTATATACTTTGTAAATGATAAAAATTATAATTTATAGAATTATATATTGTATAAATATATATGTAAATTAATATTACATAGTAATTTAAGTCATGTCATGCTTCAGACTTAATTGCAAATCAAGTTGTTTCCCTGTCATTTACTGTTGTGTTGATGTGAACAGACACATCATAGTGTTATTTTTGTCAGAGATAGGAAAATATGCTAAAGATCCTGATTTAGAAGTATCTTCCTTAAACTCTGAAGCATGTCAGAATATCACATACCATGTCCAAGGGTATTCCAATAGGAAGCACAAGCTGTGAGAACATTTGATTATCTTTCCCCCTGTTCAGTTCCTATTGTCATTATGTGAAAAATATACACATGTGCCACCATGTGTATTTGAAAATGTAGCATTAATTTCTTTGGAGGCATAGATAAAATATTTCCCAGAGTTTCACAACTGTCTAGGTAAGTGATATTTCTCCCAGGTCTGTGTTTATCTCTGTCTTCTGAGTTTTCAGCATATTTTATTGAGTTTTAATAAACCAGAACTACATCACTTTATTATTATGCAGGAATATCATTCATTCTATTCTATTTAAACTCTGAAAGTTAGGAATATTGAATGAAATTTATCAATATTTCTATTATTGCAAGTACATCAAATTTTTATTTTCTTGCATGAATTCACAACTTGATCTCCCTATCCATTGTCTCAGCCACAAGTTCCTAAGGAGCTCTCTCCCTGGAAATCTCTGGCCACACAGACTAGAGAATCAGATGAATGATCTTCACTCTTTCCCGTCCTCGAATTCCAATTCCCTATCTAACCAACAGCTTTGCTACAGGCCACCTGATATTTCTTCTCCTTCTTCTCTGCCCCAATTCCCAGAAGACTACATACACATTCTCCTACAGCCTTCTCTCATCCTATCCCCTTGTCTCAGTCACCAATACTTGAGGCACTCTCTCCCTGGAAACCCAATAGTCACCTCAGCCAGGGTATCAGACAAATGTAATTCTCCATTGTTATCCCCTTCGCTCTAGCAGATGACCTGCATGGGCCTGCTTTTTTTCTCTTCCTCCATTCCAATGGGGAATCCACAGATTCTCTTGTCACACCCAGCATTTCTCCCTCCAGTGGATCCTCTCACTCCCATACTTCCTGGCTCTATTCCATTCCTTCATGTCATCTTCTGATATATAGAAATACTTTTTACCCTTGACCCCCAAGTGACCACACTTGGCAGTGACACAGATACACTTCCTACTCCATGATGCAAAATCACCACAGTCTCCTAACATCCAGAAAGGGCAACAGAAACCAAGGAAAACCATCAAAGAAAGACAAGACCAGATATCAACACCTAGAATTACAATCATCACAAACCCATGGTCTTAGACACCAGCACAAACACAAAGTCAATAACACTCAGCACAAAGTGTCTCTACTAGAGTCCAACAGAGCTCACAGAGTAGGTTCCAATAAATAAAATACAGCTGAAGCAGAAGATAAGTACTTCAAAATAGCTATTATGAATGTAATCTAACTTCTTTCAGACAATATGAATGTATCTATTAGTGAAATTTATGGAAAAAAAACAACCAGTGAAAAGAAGTGAAGAAAACTGTTCAAGAAGTGAAAGTAGAAATGTGGAAAGTAGAAGGTAGAAACTAAAGAAAACCTAAACTTAGGTAAAACTGGAAATGAAAAATTTAAGAATTTGAACTGGAAATTCAGAGGCAGAACTTACCAACAGAGAAAAGAGATGGAAAAGAGAATCTTAGGCATTGAAGACAATATAGAAGAAATGTATACCTCAGTTGAAGAAAATGTTAATTCTAGAAACAATCCAGGCACAAAGGATTAAGTAAAACTGAAATAATATGAGAAGACCAAATTCTCAAATAAAAGAACAGAAAAAATGATGCACCAAGATAAAAAAGAAACCCAGGACAAAGGCACAGAAGCACTTTTAACAAAATCATAAAATAAAATTCACCCAACATTTAGAGGGAGGTTCCTATCAAGTTTCAAGGATTATATAGAACACCAAGTAGACTAGAGCAAGAAAAGAAATTCCCCATGATATATAATAACTAAAGTTCTAAACACACAGAACAAAGAAAGAATATTAAAAACTCTTAAGAAAAAAGAAAAAATAACCTATAAAGGCAGGCATATTAGAATAACACTTGATTATTCAATGAGGTCTCTAAAAGACAGAAGGGCCTGGGCAGATATTTTACAAACTCGAAGCTACCACAGTATTGTGGGACTGCTACCAGAGAAGACCACTCAGACACAGTCAAAGAGCTAATTGGGTGTTTGGCACTCAAGTGCAGCCCATTCCTTTCCCAGGATTCATATTTAAGCATGGAAATCACGTCCTAAACATCCTTCCTGCATCTGCAAGTTAAGTAAATAGTTATAGAAGCCAAAATATGCAATTAGCAGAAATAATGAAGTAAGGGTGATGATGACTGCTAAGAGCTCAGATTTTTGTGTTTTGTTTCACTTTTGTTTATTTTCCCAGAATGTTGTTTCTTCATTTCCTCCTCCTTATATTTCCCTCTTGTATTTTACTAAGCAACACAAAGTTTATCCAAGTTACAAAAATGAAGTTACCACATTCAACTTTCAGTCCTTGTCACAATAGATGCAGTCCAAGAATACTACACATAGCAAAAATTTTAATACCAATAGATGGAGAAAGATAGTCCACCAAGATCTACAAACTCAGCTCTACAGAAGATACTAGAAGGAGGAAAATTTCCATCTGAAGAGGTTAAACACACTCAAGAAAAAATAAGAAATAAGTCATCTCAGCTTAATAAGTCAAAATGGGGAGGAGACACAATCTACTTCAGAGAAATAATGGCAATAATGAATACTGTGCATTGATAATTCTGAAAATCAATAGTCTAAATGCCCCCAGTAAAAATACCAATAGATGAGATACGAAAACAGGAACAATACAAACAAAGATAGATATCATCTTAGGGTGAAAGTATAGAAAATATATTCCAAGCAAATGGAATTAAGAAACAAGATGATGTGACTACTATAATAGATCACAAAAAAAGACTTCAAATAAAAACTAATCAGAAAGGTTGGGGAAGAAAATTAAATATTCATCAAAGGAAAAAATCCACCAAGAGAACATTCAAATTGCAAATATCTACACACCAAACACAAGGGCAACTAGCTACATAAAAAAAATTATAGTTAAACTCAAATAATGATCATCACA